CTCTAATGAAACAAAAGAATTTAATCATTAATTAACCATTCGTTTTAAAAATAAAGCTCATGAATAGAACAGATCATTAACTTATTTATCATATCCTTCACTGGAAAATAGAAATATATATAAATATTTTTGAAATATTAGGATTGTATAAAAAACTACTATAGGACATTTTAGTCACAAAGACCGGAATCTCATTGACGTGATTTGTCTAATTTTCGTTACGTAACTTGATCTCAATGTATCAGATGCAAATATTCACTCCAGCCGTCTACGCAAATCCGTTTTGTTGCGATAAACTTGGAAACAGCGTCAATTGACGGAATCTAAACTCGGAGGTGGCCTCACCCCAGAATCTAGAAATTACGATCATCTTGCTTATCGGCATCTTTCATCTGGCGCCTGTCCACGGACCGATTCCTTCAAAAATATATCCACTTATTCGAACTTTTCCCCCGTCTATTCACGACGTAAGTGTTTAATAATAAACAAGAAATAGTTGTGACGAGCGATACCAAGCATTTCCAATAGAACTGATCCGTGACTTATTTTTGACATCTTTCGTCAAAAGCGAAACGAAAATTATTGAAAGATTTCTCTCCTGGTAGAGACACCGAGACTTTAATAATTCAGGTTCCAGACGAAGTCCTCGCATGTGCACAAAATTGCACATGCTATTTTGGATGCTTCGTATTTTGGGAATTCTGTAATTAATTCCCCGAGGGTTGCACACGTAATTTTATTCACGGTTGAAGAGGATTGTGAAATCTCAAAGAAGGACTGTTTGCAATAAAATTAGAAAGTGAAGAAAAAGGAAAAGTCTATCTACGAACGAGATGTAAAAATAAGCCATCAATTATGATGTGTAGCAAAAGAGTCTCCGAACCTAAGAGCTTTTAAATCTATAAAATCGATGAAATAGCATTTACAATTATTACTAGATATTTTAGACATCACATCATATTCTTCTACCTGTGAATATAAAAATGAACAATCTATCTATAATATATTTTAGCTTCAAATTAACTAAAAATATTTTTAAATTAAATAAAAAGACAACGCCGTTTACAAATTCAGACAGAATTACACTAAAGAAAACTATGTCAATATTTCTATTGACTTGCCAAATATATTACAATTTACTATTGTAAATAATAAGAGAAACTTCACGTGAAAACCAGAGAGAAAGCCATGATGAAAAGAAGAAGAAATTTGCTCTATTATTAAGAACACGTTACAAGCATATTTCTTGTTTCGTCTTGTAAATAGGGCTGCAGTGTCAAGATCTGGTCATTGGCGGGGGTGTGGGAATACCCACTGGGCAATCGGCCAAAAAATACTCGTTTCTGAATGTCGGAAAAGGATACGGCGGAGGGGAGACCGGCATATAGCGTCGCGACGCAGGGCGTCCGACTTAGTCTCTAGTCAGCGTCATCGTTCAAAAGTCGTTCTCCTGTTCTATACTACATACATAGGAAAACTCAGCCCTGTGGCAACGATTGCAGTATTCAACAGAAGAGAAAAAAAAGAAGAAGAAAGATGCCGGTACGTGTTTACTATTCTGTTGCAAGGGTTTATTCCACGTGGAAATAATGATTAACTTTGGTCGTACGATTATATACTTGATATATGAATAATTTCGCTACCACGCGAAACCGTGCTTATTCGTAGAATCCTAATTACGAATAGGCCTTGAACTATTTCGTTTTGGCGATTTTCCCAGATTGCTGGATTAATCTTGACACATAGTAGTAACATCCAAGTTAGTTGTGAGAAAACGAAACAGATATTAAGAATGACGTCCGAGATATCTGCTTTTAATTTTACCGAATGAATGTCGGTCAGATTATTGACACGATGGAACTCGTAACTCCGAAATGGCAATTTATACCACTGATCTCCTCTTCCCCAGCCCATTCGGAGTATTTATACCCGAAGATAAATATCCTTACGTAATTATCTTTATGACGTCCTCGGGCGGAAATATCAATTCAAAGAAATTGAATTCTGCAACAAGTCGTTAATATTGTATTACTTCCTTTCAAATTTAAGATTGATATGACTTTTATAGGTAATAATAATTCCTCATATCATCACCATCGCTTGTTAAATTATTTTCAGCGCTGATGTTCAACTTGATCTTTAGCAAAATCACTCGATAGGATTCGATCGATTTAATTTGACATTTAATGAATCGTTGCATCGGGTGTTATGTTCACTAAACGTCTTCGAGAGATGGATCTGATTTGAACAAAAACGCCACGTCCCTTGAGAATCAAGCTTAAAATACATCTTGAGAGTATTCGAGGAGGAACATATTGCTTCGAAAGGCTTGACATTTTGCAGATATGCTAGAGATTTTCCTTCTGAGAGACCACTACCGATCTTTCACATTGAACATTCCTGATGCACTCGCTGAAATATATTTGAGGAAAAATTGTATGTAAATCTAGGATCATAAAGTAAAGGCTAAATGCTAATCTATAGTAAACATAGAGACAAATTTTATTTACGTCAATTGTTCGTTGGTATTATAAATCAAAGCGAAACGAGTTTATAAATTGCTTGCATTTATTACGAGGAAACGCATTACGAATCGATTCTCGATATTCGTTATTTATAAATCGATTCGAAGGAGAGAACTGTTGGATCGAAAACAATTCTTAAACATCTTTCGAAATTTCTTTTATGTCTTACGATCGTCCTGAAAGATAGAAGAAAGATGAAAATTTTCATTAATACAGACGCCGCGGCAAGAAACGCACAGAGGCGAAACAATTGTCAGAGTGCCAAGTATGTAATTTCGTCTAATTGACGATTTTACTAGAAATCAGTATCTCCGAGCACGGCAGGGAAAACAGGTGGCTGAACCGTTGTTGTTTCTTGCCAGTTTTAATAAAAGCCAACAAAATCAGTCGGCGGTATTTTATTTTCGACGTTCGCTTTATGCTCGCGGTAACATAACACCGTCGCGGTCTATTTTCGTTCATGACATTTTTAAATTGCCCGGCAACACTTCGCTGGACTATCCCTGTCTCTCGAGAGACGATATCGGTTGCCGCAATATCTTACCGCCTTGCGATTCTAATTCCGGAGCATGCAATTGACGAAGCTTAAACTTCCGGTTCCTAGGCACGCAACAAGGAGCAAGAAAGTGAAATTATGGCCTGGATCGAGGCTGTTCTGGGAGAGAAACTTCCACCTGGAAATTACGAGGATATACTCAAAGATGGAGTAATCCTGTGCAAGCTTGTCAATAAATTGGCACCTGGCTCCGTGAAAAAGATTCAGGCCAAGGGAACTAACTTCCAGCTTATGGAAAACGTTCAAAGGTATAACAAAATTAAATTGAGGAACTTTAAAGAAAGTAAAGTCTGTGCTTATACTAAATAAATCGCTATAATTATTAATTCAAACTCAGTTGACAAGAAGAATTGGAATCTTATATCAATAAAATTTACTCAATATATGTCAGCGATTCTTTCTCCAGAAAGTTACTATATTTTAATCTATAGATGTGAGTTCCATTTATCAATCTGTATTTCGGGATAGATTTCAGGCAGCGATTAAACAATACGGCGTCCCACAAGAAGAAATCTTCCAGACGGCTGATCTCTTCGAAAGACGCAACATCCCACAAGTTACATTGTGCCTCTATGCCCTTGGAAGAATTGTATGTTAAAGATTTCGAAATTTTAAAAAAGAACCTTTGACGACGAAGAATTAACATACAACTGATCGTATTTCTTCTTTCCACATAGACGCAAAAGCATCCGGAATATACTGGACCACGTCTAGGGCCGAAAATGGCCGACGAGAATAAAAGAATATTTTCGGAAGAACAGCTTCGAGCCAGCGAGGGTGAACTCAATTTGCAGATGGGTTTTAACAAAGGAGCCAGTCAAGCTGGTCACGGTGGTTTCGGCAATACTCGACACATGTAAATCTTCTACATACACGCATAGGAAACGCGATATCAAAATCTATATATAGATATAAATATTTTTTTGCTACTAATTGTCGATCTCCAAGTACTCAACTATCGATCAGTTCGAGATACATATTCTAATCGCGACTCTACAACACCAAATTCCAAAAACTATTCTCCCTTAGATATATCGAAATAATTGAAATAATTTGTTATTGAAACATATTGTACTCTTGTATACGTAAATGTGAAATCTTGTCGTAATTATTGACAAAACACAGACACTTAATACACTACACGTTACATTTACAATTACTCGTAACATAATCAATATAATATGCTATACATGTACACAACACTAAAGTCATAACAGTACATTCAGAAATAAATATACGCACAGCGTACACTTATTCTGCTCACAAAGAGATAAAAAAGATTTTGTCATGAAACAAGATAATGAAACATTACACGCGCAAATATGAGCATGTAAAATGTCAAAAGTAGATGATTTCTTGATACATCCTTTCTTGAAACATAATATAAAGGGCCAACAAAAACTCATCAATTACTACATCAAGACAAGTGTGAGGAAAATTTATGTACCAACAAGATTTCTCAATTACATTAACATGTAAATGTAAGATTTCTATCTTAATTTCTATATCAAAGATCATTTTACAAATTCGAACGAATAGCTTAATGCCTTTTCTAAGATTTGTAATTGTTCTCACATGATTTGCTAATAATGTACAAATATAAAATGTAAAAATGTACAAAATAAAAAAGCAGCGCTGCTATTTTCTATTATCTGTATTATTCTATATCTGTAGTCAAAATTATTCAAAACCATAGACCTTACGACGATTACTAATTGGCTGCTATTATTTTCTTCACAATGTTAAGAAAAAAAGGTTGATGTAAATTAAAAATTCTTCTTGTTGATATTACGTACTTGAGGAACATTATAAATGGCGTAACATAATAATAACATCATAGTGAGTGGATTATTAAATTGAGGAAATGGATCTTTGTCGATCTTTCCCTCAATAATCTGAAGAAACTTGAATTCCAAGTTAATTTTAGTATGTCAGTCAATTGCTAAAATATCTAGGACTTGTTTGTAAATAAAGCCTAAGCCATACATAATGTCATCGCCGTGACACAAATTTTCCTCAGAATGTTTTTTT